GAGGTTATTAGTTTCTAGAAGACCTTCACTATGAGAAATACTGAAAAGAATTGTTCAGACTGAATTAAAAAGATCTTTACTAGATACATAGAAGTTCAGGAAGAAAAAAGACCATCTGAATTGGGAAATATGTAGAAAAATATTGATTTTAAAAATTACAATAACAACAATGTGTTCTGGGGGTATATATATAGTGGTTTGTCCCATAAAAATTATTCTATCAAAACTCCATAGCCTGACCAATGCAGGAAACAGCTTTCTTTTTTCTTTTTTTTTTTTTAAAGAACTCTCTTCAGTTCACCTCTGTCTCTCCATGATAGGGACAGTTTGCTAAGGCTAGTCAACCCTATTTTATAGCAAGTTTGAAAATGTGATGTCATGCTGACATCTAAGAGTCAGTGATAAAATGAAATTCACTCATGTAATCTGAGAGTATTTATGTAAAATGTACATGGGCAGAGAGAGATAATTGGATCAGTTTTTAAATTCTGCCTGGGAGATGAACAGCTCAGAAAACTTGCTTGGACAAAACAGCTGACTTATTTATAAAGAAGATTAAGGTCTGTTTAAACCTTACACTTAAAGTTCATTGTTAAACAATTATATTTATAAAATATATGAAAATAGCAGCACAAAGTAAAAAATTAAATGGAGTTAAAATTTGTAAAATATTTTCATTGTTTATGAAATAATAGGTGGTAAGGTAAATTACAATTAGAGTTGCACTATAAAATCTCTGGAGTATCTAAATAAAGAAAAAATGCTAAGAGGGAAAACTAAAAAGTGAATAGAGTATATAAATTGATTTAATTAAAAATATTGCTTAATGAAAAAGAAGGGAGAGAAAAAGATAAAGAAGCAATGAAAACATGAGACAGAGAGAAAACAGAAACTCCTAAATATTTGGAAATTTTCCTACATACCTCCAAATTATCCCGTGAGTCAAAGAAAGAACAATGTACATTAGAAAATAGTTTGAAGTGGACAAAAAGTATGTATGGAACATACCAAAATTTGTTAGATGAAACCAAAGCAGTGGTTCAGTGGTTAGAGGGAAATTTATACCTTCAAAGGCTATTAAAAATTAATAACTGAAGTTCCCATTTGAAGAAGAGAAAGACAGCAAACTAAATCAAATGAAAGGAGGAAGGATATGAAAAAGGTAGAATTTAATGAAATAGAAATAAAATAGAAGAAAATTCACAAAATTTGTTTTTTATTAGTAAAGATAATATTGATAAATCCTAGATAAGGAGTAATAAAATAAAAGTAAAAATAAAAGAACCACATCCCCCTCATACTGCCCTGCAAATTATCAAAATTGTGAATGAAGTTTGGGACCCTGCCACAGCTATTAAGTTGGAAAACTTAAATGAAATGGATAAAGTCCTTGAAAAGTAGTAGTTTATCAAAGCTCATATAAGAATGGGGAGAAAAATCTAAATAGTCTTATGGCTAATAAAATTATTGAACTTGTAATTAAAAAATCTCACAATGAAAACTTTAGGCTCTAATGGTTTCACTGGTGATTTTTTTTCAAACTTTTAAGGATGAAAGAATACCTGTCTGTGTAAACTATTACAGAAAACACAAATGAGAGAAGCTTTCCAGCTCATTTTATAAGGCAAGCACAACCTTGATATAAAAACTTGACAGGGACAATACAAGAAAGCAAAATTATAAGTTTGCACTCTCACGAACATAGAATATTTTTAATGTAAAAATATTGCACAAAATGTTATCAAATCAAATCCAGTCATTCATAAAAAAGATACTACATTATTGCCAAGTGGGGCTTATCTGGGGAAAATAAGGTTAAGGTTGGTTTACTATTCAGAAATCAAGCAATGTAATTGCCCATATTAATTGAATAAAAGAGTAAAACTATATGGTCATCTCAACAGATGCAAAAAGTTTGACAAAATTCAGCATATTATAAACTTTTCAGCAAACTAAAAGAGGGTAAGTTTTATAATCTGATAGTTTTAAAAAATAAACACACATGGATAACATGACAAGGAATGCTTTCCTTGTGAAATGAGGAGTAAGGCAAGGCTGTTCATTATTACCACTTTTATAATGAACATCATACGTAACAGTAGGAAGGCTTTTCTCCTGAATCTGGGAATAAGACAAAGATGTCCAGCATCACCACTTTAATTGAACACATATGAAAGGTGCTACCCAGAGCAATAAGGCAAGCAAAAGTTTAAATAAAAGATATAAATATTGGAAAAGAAAAAGTCAAATTTTGTCTTTATTCATATATATTATACACTTTCAAAATCTGTAATATATATAAACTGTTAAAATTAAAAAGTGAATTTACCAATGATACAAGGACTTAAGGATAATACACCAATCAATTTTACTTTGATACTGGGTATAAAGTCAATATAAAATTTTGTTCTACTTTGGTATGCTAACAATGAATAATTGTAAAATGAAGTTAAAATACTGTTTACCGTAGAATCAAGGCCACCAACTACATAATTAGCATAACACTAACAAAATGCGCCCAAGATCGCTCCACTGTAATGGATAAAATAGTACTTACAGAAATGAAATCATATCTAAGTAAATGGAGATACACAATGTAAAAAGAGTGGAAGACAATATTGGGAAGATGTCAGTTCTTACCAAATTGACCTATAGATTTAGGACAATTCTAATCAAAATTCCATTAGGATTTGTGTACGTGTGTGTATGTGTGTGCAAGCATGTGTATCTATTATAAATTGATAAGTTGATGCCAAAATAATGTAGAAAAACTAAGGATCTAAAGAGGCCAAGATAATCTGGAAGAAGAACAAAGTTGGTTGGCAAATGTTACCAGGTTTCAAGAATTACAATAAAGGTGACTAAGACAGTGTAGTATTGGAACAAGGATATGTAAATAGACCAATGAAACAGAATAGCGTGTCTAGAAATAGATCCACATATACGATGGTCATTTGATTTACAGCAAAGGTGCTTTTGCAAGCCATTGGATAAAGAATGGTCTTTTCCATAATTCTTCTATAGGAAAAATTAAACTTTGAACCTACCTCATTCCATACATGAATAGTAGACTAAAATATGAAGGGTAAAACAAAAAGGCTTCTATAAGGAAACATTGGACAATTAGTGCCTGACCTTGAGGTAGATAATAATTTCTTAAACTGGACCCCAAAAATCAAATGATCAATATTTCAATCATAAAAGAAAAAACTGATTAGGTGTATTTCATTAAAATTCAGAGAATAGAACTAGAACCCCCAAACTGGGAGATGACATTAAAACTACATACATGTGACCAAGGGTTCGTATCTATGTAAACAGAATGTCTACAGAGCAATAAGAAAAAGGAAAGAAATCAATAAATTGGTCAAAAGGCTTGAACTGGCACTTCACAAAAGAATATTCAAAGGGCCGATAAGCCATTTGAAAAAGTCAACATCATTAGCCAACAAGGAGATGCAAATTAAAACTACATTGAAATACCACTACACACCCATAAAAATGGTTACAATTAAAACCACTGGTGATGCCAAGTTATGGCAAAGAAGGAGAATATCTGGAATTCTCAGATACTGCAGGTGGGACTGTAAATCAGTACATCCTCTTTTGAAAGCTGGTAGTACCTACAATAGTAAAATTTGTAGTTAACCCTAGGACTTAGCGATTCTACTCTTTAAGAAAAGAGTGCTTATGTCTATCAAATGTCCATGGCAGCTAATGGGTAAACATTGCAAGCAACCCAAATGCCATCCTCTGAGAAGGGATAAACAAACTGTGTTATCAGGTAATGGAGAACTATAAAGCGGTAAAAAAGAATGGCTTGCTAACAGTATGTATAACAATATGGATGGATCTCCAACATTATGTTGAGTAAAAGAAGCCATACATACAGAAGCAAATACCTACTGTATGATTCCATTCTTATGGAACAGACAATACTAATTGATGCTGAAAGAGGTGAGAATAGTGATTACCTCTGGGAGATGAGTGGTTATTGCCTGGGGACGGGCATAAAGAGACTTCGGGACGCCAGAAGTGTTCTCTGTCACAATCTGGATGGTGGCTGCACCAATGTATACTGAGCAGACACTATATGCAGTGTGCTCTCTGCCCACGCAGCAAAGAAGCTTGCATTCTAGTGAGGAAGACAGAGGTTAGGTGGCTAACTTTGGTAAGGTGGGTGCTGTGGTAGAGGAACTTGTGGTGGCCCTAGGCCCCCACGTGGAGCAGGCATCACTCAGCTATTCCAGGGGTGAGGGGAGACTTCCTTGAGGCAGAGATGTCTCAACTGAGAACCACTAGGCACGAGGCAGGGATAAGAAGATCAAGAGGAAGAGAACATTCCAGCAGACGGAAAGGAGGGGAGAGAGTGAGGCATGTGCAAGTAACTAATCGTTTGGTGTGGAATGCGAGGGACTACAGGGGAAAAGATGCGGCTGGGGCGGGGGTGGACCTGTGGACTGCAGCAGGGGCTCGCTCGTCGGTGACTAGATGTGTTGGAGGAGTTTTAGCTTCTCTAAGGTGCTCTGGCTGTAGAGACAGTGGCCTGGGGCACCGACGACCTTGCGGTGGTGGGTTGTGCTGGATGGGGAAGAGGCAAGTGCCTCCAGTTCGGCACTGTTAGGAAAGGAAAGTTCCAGGCTCCGGAGCAGGCCAGTTCCCCGAGGCATTATGCAGTCTGATTTCACCTCGGAACTTCCAGTGTCATGTCATTGCATCTGACTTCCTCCTAGAAAGAGCCCTTGCTTCTGAAAGGAGCCTTCTCTGCAGGGTGAGCCTGGTCCGTTGTATTTGCTGGGCTCCTCTGTGGGTGGTGGGGGGCCGGAGGAGAAGCCGCGGGGAGGGCTGTGTTTGATGCATCAAGCCCTTCGATCCTACACCCCGCTCCCACTCGCCTCCTAGGAACTTCCCAGGTCCCGGATGAGGGCACCAGGACAGAGCGACTTTCTTGCTACCATTTGGGGGTGTGATTACCAGAGGGGTCCCTTGCCCAGGAATCGGAGCGCCGTCCTCTCACGCGCCCCAGTGTGGAGGTGGGGAGAGGGATGAGGGGTACACAGCGCCCCCCCGCCCCAGGCGGCGTGGAGGCCGCAAAGCTACCCGACCGCCGCCATCAGCTGGGCACAAAACTCGAAAGTCGAGGAATGCCAAGTTTGGCATCTATTGATCTGCAGGTCTAGACCCGCTGGGCCCCCTTTCCCCGCTCCGAGCGACCCCAAACACTCCGCCTTGAATCAGAAGGGGATCTAGAAGCGGAGAGCTGCCCGCAGTGGAAACCGTTAACGCCCAGGCCGGGAGGAAAGCGGGTTAGGACGTGATCCCGCCGCACGGAGGACCCAGGAGGCTCCGGCGCGGCGCTCCGGTGGCGGGAGCGCGCTGCGTGCTGCGCGGGGCGGGCGGCGGCGGCGCGGGCGCGGGGCTGCAGGTGCGACTCCCGCGGACTCCTGCCTGTGCCGGGACCGCCGCCAGCGCGCACGCAGCGCCGCCGGCCCCCCGGCCCCCGCCCACGGATTGGCCACCAGGTAGGGGACGGCGTGCTCGCTTCGGGGCGTGCGACCCGGCCGGCCGCGGTCCCACGCTCCTGGGGGCCCCCGGGCTCGCCTGCCCGGGCGGAACCGCGCTCGCCGGGATCTCTGAAGGCTGATTATGGTCAGTGGCACCAGAGAGCCGGCAGTGCCGGAAAGGCGGAGCAGAAAAGCGGGACTCGCCGGCCGCCCGGGGTGTGCGCTCCCTTGAAGGTGGCAACGCCAGCGGCCGCCTGCAAACCCTGCTTGAACTGTGAGCGCCGTGCAGTTTTGCAACTTAGGCAGCTGACATTTGTACCTCGGCTTGCCTAAGCTTCCTAGGCACCGCTCTTCGTTTCCATTCTATTACTATCAGATGGGTGGTGGTGGTGGCTTGGTCCTAAAGAACAGATTAAAAACACGCTTACACCTGGTGGTTCGGAATCCGGGTTTGTGAGTGTGTGTTTTTCCGCATGTGGAGGGCGCCCTCCGCGGGCGTGGGAGCAGCTCGGTAGGGACACAGAGAGCATTTGCTTATAGATGGATTTCAGTGCAAGGAAAAGAACACGATTTGTTCTGCAGGGATGGGTGAGCAAATGCGCCTGGCTAGGGAGGAGCGAGCCGCTGCCTTGGCTTCCGCAGACGGGTGTTAGATCTCTGCTGTCCAGGGTTCCCCCGGCTGCTGAAACCTGATCCTTTAACCAGAAACCACACATGCAAACTAGCTCCGTTTAAAGGTAACTTAACAGCGGTGTCCTGGGCTCTGATAAGAGTGGTCCGGTGGGGTGGGCCGCTGAGGTGGAGGGGTGGAACGCATGCTGGTGTTTTTTTTTCAGAAGCCTGTTCTGCAGGTGAACGTGGGTGGCTTTGAAGTTCAGGGAGTGGCAGGTGAGGGATGAGAGGTGTGTGTTAGGGGGAGAATTAGGCATTGCAGCCCGCTCAGTGGTCAGTCGGGGCTACGCTGGTCTTCTGTGGTTCTGCTTCTTGCTCTTTCCAAAAGAGGCGGCTTGTCCTGCTTGCTTTAGTCGATGCAGCAGAGACAGAACAGGCTCACCCTGCATCTTCCCTGAGTCAGCAAAAAGTCGCCGAGCACCTAGGATGTGTCAGAGGCTGGGTTAGTCCTTGGGGATGTAGAAATGATGACAACAAAGCCCGGGTTCTCCAGAAGCTCACACCTGGTGGGAAACACCTGTAATAATGAAGTGTGGTAAGTTCAGGGATGCAGGTGTGAAAACTAAAAAAGCGGTGGGAGCAGAGAGGAGGAAGGAATTGTGGCAGTGATGATTTTTAAAACGAAGTTCTTATAGATGAGGCATTACATGGATTTCAGTGGGGGCTGGGTCCCTCTCTTGGTTCCATGATCTGTGAGTGACCCACACCGCTCTCCCACCCCATCAACCTCACCTGCACTGGATGGGCAGAGCTTTATACGCCAGGACAGGGCTAGTGTTTGCAGTTCATGGCCAGACCCCAGTAAGCAGAGCCAGGGGCTGGCACCACAGGAGGAGTGGGTCCAATGCAGGCCAGGATTTTCTTTTTCAAAAAAAAAGAAAAAATAGATTGTTTACATAAATTCTAGGATCAGGAAGGTTTTGAAGCAGTATTTTACAAGACAGGGACTCTGGAACATTCTGAGGGTTTCTCAGAGCAGGTGAACTTCTGCCTTCTTCCCCACTGGGTCCGTGCCCTGTCTGTGCTTGTTCCAGCTCAGTGCAAAAGGAAAGCTCTGACCTTGAGTGTATCTAGACGGATAGCATAAAGGAAAGCTAAAGCTGTTACTCCCAATCTTTCCTGAGAGATGAAAATCCAGTCTCATGGATGTTTTTTTTCTGGATGACAGTGGTGGTGGGTGATCAAAAATGATGACGTGAAGAGCTCTTGTGTCATGCATGGTCGCCAGAGATATGCATCATGTGCGTTTTGTAACCTAAACCATCATTAAGGCATTTGAAAAGTGGGCTGGCACATAGCAAGGAGCGTGGGCTCTGATGCTCAGACAGACCTAGGTGCCTGTCTTCTTACTTAACCTCTCTGAGCTTTGGTTTCCCCACCTGTACAATGGAGGTAACAATAGTTATTATCATAATTTACTAATTATAATAATTTAATAATTTTTAAGCTCCTAATAATAGTAGGAGCTTAAAAATATTTGTTCATTGTTAAGTGATTTTCATATAAATTGCTTGGCACAAAGTAGGTGCTCAAGAAATGGCAGTTCATTTGAGTATCTACAGCGTGTCAGCTACTGCACCCTGGGTGGGTAATACAGAATTGAGCTAAATAAAGCCTCTGTCCTCAAGGAGCTTAATTTGTGTGTGTGTGTGTGTGTGTGTGTGTGTGTAAGATAATGGACATATAAATAAGTAACTAGGCAGTGTATCATCTGATGGTGCATTACAGCAGAGAAATAAAGCAGGGTAAGAGGAATGGTGCGTGCTGCCAGAAGGCTGGGTGAGGATTGTTCTTTTTTTAATGCAGCTTGGGAAGGGAAGGTTTTGCTGGTAAGTAACATTTGACCGGACCCCTGGGGAAGCGAGGGAGCAGGCCAGGCAGATGTCTGAGGAAGAGCATTCAGGGCCGAGTAAGCGCCTGCACAAAGCCTGAAGCAGGAGAGTGATGTGTTCATAAGAAAACCAGTAAAGCTGTGGCTGGCTGAGTGAAGGGAACAGCAGTAGGACTTGAGGTCAGAGAGGTCACGTGGCATGGTTCCTGGGGTATTGCCTCTTATGATGTGTATTTGTCATTAAGATCTATGTCCTGAGCTCTTGTTGAAGGAATTGGCTGAAATCCCACACTCTACATCTAGAAGAAGGTAGATTGGTACACGTCTGCTCCTGTGGTCCTTCGGGTGTAAATGAACATAGCAAGCAGCGGCATCAATCTTTGCAATGCAATAGGAAGCACCGGAATTAGGGAGACAGTGCAACACAGAGCTCAGGTATCTTTCATCCAGATCAAGGGCTGTTTTTGTGCTTCTTCTGAAGCTTAATATTATGTTTTTCTCCTTTCCACCACATGGAAAAAAGGGTCGCCTTTAGAGAGTAGTCCCATGAGTATCGTCCTTGCTAGTTTTTTTTTTTCTTTGAGAACAATAATAGTTTCTATGGCTATAGAAAGGTGTTGGAATCAACTGAAAATATACTAACCTTTGGGTGTCCTGGAGTGCATTCACATAATATCATGTGACAAATTTTTTTGAGGTTTCCATTTGTAGGTTTAAGAGGAGGCCCACCATTGGCTGCTCTGCCCTTTGGAGACTTTGTTCCTCTCTAGAGCAAGGGTTTGCATTTTGAGGGCCCCATCCCACAGCTGTACTTGGGGCAGTAGGGCTACTGCAGTGTGCTCCATGGGCTGAAATGGATGCCTGAGAACCTTGTCAGAGCTTCTGTAGAATTAGAGGTGGATGGTGAGGCACCGTCAGGGTGGCTGGTGGGGTATTCCCCCAAGGCACCTCAGAAGGTGACATTTACCTCTGAATCCCCCCCATGCAAGGTCTGGCTTTTAGTTTTGCTGCTTCAGAAACCTGATCTGTTTCTCTGGGCCCCACCACAGTGACCTTGCTCACTTGCACACCAATCTACTGGTTTGTAATGGCTGAGACACTGGTGGCCTGGCTAGTGCGTAGGGGGAGGGCATTTCTTGTAAGACCTCACATGGACTTTGGCTTTTACTCTGAGTGAGGTGGGAAGCCCTTGGATAACTTTAAGCACAGGTTGCCATTATCTGACTTATTTTTTATAGTGATCAACTGAGCTTTAAACCTTAGAATGGACTCTAGGGGTCAAGGGTAAAAAGAGGGGGATGAGTCAGGAGGCTGCTGTGATTATCTGGCATAGAGGCAATGCCAGTCAATGAGGCAAGTCACTGCTGTACCATCAGTGACCCGAATATTGCCTGGCACATAGTATGTGCTCAATGACTGTTGAGTGAGTGAGTGGAACCATATAGTCACTGAAGATGACTGCAAATCTTTGCTTCAGTGGTTCTTGCAGTGTAACTCCCTGAAGTTATTCCCTTTCTTTCCAAGGTCTTCTAGGAGGTTTATTGTGTATCTTGTGGACTAAAAACAGACTTTAAATATGAAGGCTCCAACTGCTTATGTCTTACAGAAAGCTGTGTGTGGTGACAAGTAAGAAAGAGAAACAAGTAGAAACTGAAAAATAGCTCATACTTTCAAAAAAAGGAGACAGATCTTCCAGAGAGAGGTGGCTGAAATTCCGGGGTGTGATGTTCTTGGGTTATTATTGTACTACTCTTAATTTAAGATTAAGAAGGAGCAGTGAAGAATCTTGAAAAAGGGAGATATTTATTTAAATGCATTTGATGCCAAGTGAAGAGTGTTACCAGCTTGCTTGAAAAATCCCGCATCTACAGCATCTTGCATAATGTGTTCCTGTTTATAAGAAAAGAGAAATAGGCAATAGCTTTATAGGAACAGTGGAGAGCTGAAATGACTTCTGTTCAAACTCTAGGTGCTGACCATTGCCTCCCCATGGGGCGGCTGAAAATGTGTGAGTGTGAGTTTTGTGTACAGTGATATTGGGGTGGGCTGCGGAGTGAAATAAAAAGTAGTTACTGCAGTCAAAAGTGGTTTCCTGTGTGTGTGTGTGTGTGTGTGTGTGTGTGTGTGTGTGTGTGAGTGTGACAGAGAAAGAAAGAGCAAGCACCAATAGTAGAAAACAAACGAGTTAAAGCCCAGAAAGAAGTGGAGTAGTCCCCCTTTATCCATGGGAGATACGTTCCAAGACCCTCAGTGGATGCCTGAAACCATGGCTACCAAACCCTACATATACTATGTTTTTCCCCACACTGATGAAGTTTAATTTATGAACGTCATAGGAAGAGATTAACAACAATAAACAACAATAAAGCAGGACAATTATAACAATGTATGGAAATGAAAGTTACGTGTACATAGTCTCCTCTTTCAAATATCTTATTGTCCTATATTAACCCTCTTCTTGTGATGATGTGAGATGATGCAATGCCTAGGTGATGAGATATAGTGAGGTGAGTGA